TGCATCCAAGTGGGTTTTGAAGATCTCCAGAGAAGGAGACTCCACAACCTCTCTGGGCAGCCTGTTCCAGTGATGTCCAGGTCACTGATGAATAAATTGAACAGGACTGGACCAAGCACTGACCCCTGAGGTACCCCGCTAGCTACAGGCCTTCAACTAGACTCTGCACTGCTGATCACCACCCTCTGAGCTCTACCATCCAGCCAATTCCTAATCCACCTCGCTGTCCACTCATCTATCCCACACTTTTGGAGCTTGCCCAGGAGGATGTTGTGAGGGGTGGTGTCAAAAGCCTTGGTGAAGTGGAGATAGACGACATCCACCGCTCTCCCCTCATCTATCCAGCTGGTCATTCCATCGTAGAAGGCTATCAGGTTAGTCAAGCAAGATTTCCCCTTGGTGAATCCATGCTGATTACTCTTGAGTGTGACACTGCAGCTCCTGTGGCAAGTTCTCAACGGGAATAGCCACGAGTCCTTACGTGGAGTGGCAGATGACAACCTTCCTGGCGTAATTCAGAAATCCCTTAGCTAAAATCCTATGATTTCTATAGCTTTCCATTATTCTGCATGGCAACAACCAAAAAGCAAGACATTGGCAGTGCCTTTAATGACTTTGGGAACACAGACCTAACACAAAGGCTTGCATAGAAAGTCAGGAGCAGGAAAGAGGTGGAGACCATTTGCTGTATCGCAAAATAAACATGTCAACCATTCCAGTTTAACAGCTTGTCCTCGGATATTAAAACCAGCTTCAAAACCATGACTGATATGGAGTAATTAATTAGTCACTGCACAACCCTTGAAATGAATCTGCTAACAAAGCGCTCTGAGCTCCACTGAGATCAGAAGCCTGCTCCTGTGCAAGCTCTGCCCCTCCTTGGCAGGCAGGTTTTTTAAGGAAGCTGATTAAGTGACAAACGAGGCTTTGCAGGTAGAACAGTTTGGGTGCCGAATTGATTTAGCTGGATCTGATCCTTTCACCCTTACATCAGTTTGGCAAATGTTTGGTTCAAACATACAGGGCCTGACTCTTCCCATCTTCCTCCAGGGAAGTTCCCATCTTCTCCTTGTCACATCTCAGTCAAAGAGTAACCACAGTGAGCAGATAATTCAGGACCATTTTATTTGTCTATTACTGTGCAGTGCCCCAAATGTGCCACACTTGCTGACAGTACAAAGTGTGCTTTTGGTACTATTTAAAACTCGCTACCCTTTTTTTTCAGTTAAAAATATAAATCATATCCTTAGAACAGCTATTGATCAGGCTGGCAGAGGAAGAATTAGGGTATGTACAGTTGATACGTGAGGTGAAGCAAAAATCTAAGTAATGACTATAATCCCCCAAAATTGCTAATGTAACCTTGTGGAGCAAGCAACTGCATTGTTATTTTCCCAGTAATTGCCTTCGGCTCCCGTATGTCTCTGCAATGTCACTCCGAAGGGCCCTCCTCGAGCAGGCTGAGAAGGCAGAGAAGCAGCACAAGGCTGCACTTAGCTGTCTGGGTTCAGCCACTCATTTTTCAGCCGTGTGAGCTTTTCCTTTGCTGCCATTTGGGGATGTGTGCTCATGATTACAGACACGCTGCTGGGCCTGGAGACAGACCCGCTCACTCTGCTGCCATGTTTAAATTCCCTCTGCTGCCAATCATCATTAGGATGACTCTGTTATCAATTGCCTTTTCTCCAAATCCTATCAACAAAACATTAAGTTGTGAACATTTATATCTGCAACCTTTGCATTCGTCTCGCAGGCAGAATGTAAAGAGCAGAATGATGCTGTTTTTGCCAAAATGTTGCCAGGAAATGGGGCCAAACTTTTCTAGGTCTGCTAATGTTCATAGTGAAGAGGTTACGTGATTGCACCAGTAAATTGTCATTGCCATTGACACACTCATACACACAACCCGCCACTGTCCATGCCTTATAGGAAACCATATGAAATGACAAAGCTTACAACTCCTTTCCTGAGTATTACCCTTTCCCACAGCAGGGGGAACCAGGGTGGCTGACAGTATAAACTGGCTATGATGTACTCAAGGGATATCGTCAGGCAAGTGTGTGGGTTTTTTTTTTTTTTTAAATCTCTATATATAAAAGAAAAAGTGCAAATTCAGCCAGTTCAGGGCAAATGGAAGCCACTCAGAACCAGTATTTTTTGTATGTAACAACATGCACATATCATGCATTGTAAAATCAACCTTTATTCCATTGCTTCACATTTTTACCTTCTTTTGATAAACTCACATTACGTGTCCTTGCTACTTCCCATAAATTTATGTAATTCCTTTACCAGGGGGATGCGTTAAGTTTATTTTTATTTTCAGAGCAGGAATTGTTTTTATTTTGTATTTTAATGCAAGTAAACCTTTCAGACCCTAGTTCTGATGAGGAGCTGTCAGCAATAGTAAATTGCTGACAGTTAATGTTAATACATTGCAAATCCACAGCACAGTGCCTGTTATCTCGTTTTTTTAAATAAAATCTGCATCTGCCATAGGACAAATTAGTACAAACATAAATTGTTAGAACACAACTGTAGTTTTTTAATCCATACCAGCAAGACCTAATAGAAATAATAAAAAATGATAATGGCTTAATTGAACTAGCTGTTCAACTGAGTAGCTTGTTTTCTCAATCTGGTTAGTCCTAGCAGCACTGAGCAGATCTCTTATGTGCCATCTACCGACAAAAAATGCATTTGACGTGAATGTAACTTCATGAACGTGAATGAAGTTACATGAACATCTGCTGCTGTACAGAGCGACAGTCAGGAACAGACTTGCTAGGTCTTGATCCCACTCAGCAGATGCAACTGCCTCTGAATTGGGCTTAGCACAAGCATCTCCATTTTGTAATCACACACTTTCCTCTTGACTTTTGAAAAGCTTTGGTCAAGATTAATTTAAAAAATGTAGTTTTTTTTTTCAGGTGCTTTGAAAATAGATGACTCTGTGAGCTTAAGAAACTTACCTCACAGAGGTTGAGTATTTTGAATTTTCAGTGTTGCTTATTCAAGTGTTTGATGGTCATCATGGTAAAAGCTTTGCTCCTGGAAATGGTTGAAAACGCAACTGCTGTTGAAAGAAACTGCCTCCCAGCCCTCGTAATTGTGCAGCTTAATGCTGGCAAGATCTCAAAGCTCAAGGAACAAGAAAAACAAGTAAATATGTGTTGTTAATTGATAACTCATGATTTTGACAGCATGGTTTCATTTTTGAGAGCTTGCCCTTGCAACAGCAAAGGTCTTGGCCCTTCATCTGTTTTAAGGGATGGAAATTTGAGCATCAGATTCTTGCTCACATATGCCAAGGTAAATCTTGCTTTTGGAAATCCCACTTTGCTTCCTACATGTTTTTCTAAATAAATGGTCCCTAAACAAATAAATGTCCCAGTGGACAGGCAGTAACCGTGTTCGCAATCCCGCTAACAGTAAATAACAGCGCAGGCAGTAGCATTCTTTGCTGTTCTTCTTGGCCTCAGTTCTAAGTTTTCCTTGCATCATGGAGCAACTCTAAGTGGCTCCTTTAAATAATTCTGTAATGGTCTGGCAGGGCACCCTTATGGATCACTACTCTAAATGCTTCCATACTGGACACACCCAGTTCTTCTACGGAAATCCTCAAACCTTGGGGCTGCTATGGGAGAGACGCTGCTCTCTTCTCTCTGTGTGTAGCTCCTGGCACGCCTAAAACCGTATTATGGGGGAAAGAGCAAGAGGGTGACACCAGCTGTCGCCGCCCTGCAGCACCTGACACGGGATTAGCCCCAAAGCAGCGCAGAGAAAAAGCAGCACAGGCTACAACCCCGCCCTATGAGGGGCGCGGCGACCGTTGCGCGCACGACCGTTAAGGCCCCTCCGGCTTATAGGCAAGATGCGCAAAGATCGGAGCGTCGCCTCTTTGCCTGACAAAGGAAATGCATTTCTAAAATCGGAGATGTGACGAAACTGCTTCTCCCTCCCTCTTTATTTTTTTTAAACTACTAAGTAAATGAAATATAATGTCGATGTAGTGTTGTTTATACTGATTAAATCAGCATTCCTTTATCGTATTCTTTGTCGCTGTCTTTTAAGTGTCATTTGTCTCTGTTTGGTGACTCTTAATCTTGCTTTCTGCAAACACCAGTGGCTAAATGCAGCCCAAACAGTGCCCAATAGCTAAAAATATTTATATATATATTTATCTATCTGTCTCAGAATGGTTGAATGTCTAGCATCTGAGTTCTGCTTACAGATATTTCTGTTCTGTAATAATAAACACCATGATAACTGGACCATTAAATGCATGTTGTATATATATGCATTTATCGCAATCATTTTCATAGATTTGAGGCAGGAATGGAGTGTTTTCTAAGTAATACATTTTCCCTTGTGTTTAAGTTAGTGTTTGAGCAAACTGAGATGGTGTTACTTCAGTCCTCTGTTGCTGTATGTTTTTCTGGCTGATCTTGGCCTTTATCCTTCCAAGCTCTGAAAAATGACTTAATTTGAAACACAAATAGGCCTAGTGGATGCGCAAAGTTAAGTATATGTATTAGAAAAAATGAGGCCTTTATTTATATGTGCAAATGCTTTGTGGCTGTTTATACTTTGGCTTAGCAAGGAACAGGCTAATTTCACTAGGAAAGTTTTTTTTGTGCACAATTGCTCATTAGCCCAAACACACTAATTATTTTTCTTCATGTTTTGTTTCTATAACTCTTATCATTAAGATTATTTCTAGCACTTTGGGTTGTGAAGTGGAAGTTTCTCATATGTGCAAGCTTGAAAGCATGACAGAATTGGTGTTTAGAAGGTTGAACTGAGTTGTAATGGAAAATGCCTGTTATGAAAAGCAAAGTTCTTACTGCAGTTTATTCTTGTTTCCAGTACATTGATGAGAGCTTTTTATCTTTCAGTTTTAGAATGACGAGCTCAGGACTGGCTGACACAAAGTGTGGTGGCGGCATGAATGTTTAATTCAAGACTGCAACTTAAGAGCAAAACCGCACGTCTTACCTTATTCGTTCCTGTCACCCCTCTTCTGCTAAGCCCAACGTTGGCTTGCCCTTAACTTGCCCGGTGAGTGTGAAATCCAGTGACTTAATGTGTCTGGTTAACAGTTGTACTTAACTAGGGTTGTAGTAGCCAAAATTTTCACGGTGTCTTAACTGCGTACGTTGATCATGAAGTATATGACCTCACATAAAATTCCACGTGTCTCTTCAGCTTTTTTTTGGGGGAAAAAAAAATTAAAGGAGCGGTGTGCTACTGAAAGAAGAAACAAACAAACATGTATTTTGTTTTGAAATGGGATATCTTTAGGCCTTGTTTAGTTCCAGCTTTTTATTATATGGTAGTATATTGTAGAATATGCTACTAAAAAAAAAAATCTTGGAAGATTTTCCATTCTGGTTTTATTAATACCATAGAGGCATTGGAAATCCCTTCTTACTAGTGTGCAGAAGTACTTGACTTCAGTATAGTATGAATGTATTCTTGTAACTTGTAGGGGTAACTATATTTTTCCTCCAAGGGAATCGATCATGGCTGATGACTCTCAGAGAAACTTCCGGTCAGTGTATTATGAAAAAGTGGGATTTCGTGGAGTTGAAGAAAAAAAGTCACTGGAAATTCTCTTAAAAGATGATCGTTTAGGCAAGTTGATTTTACTATTTTCTGTATTATTTTGGAGGATTTTTTTCCACTTTTTTTTTTGAATTCTAAATGGTTTACTGCTCCTGTGCTTAGTATTCATTAAAGTTTTGTATCTTTTACCACTAATTTCTCTGTTAATACTGCTTGTCACACCTGTAAGATATTTTAGTCAATCCTTTGAGTTTCAAAAACCCAAGAATCTGATTTTTAAATCTGATTTTAGCTCTGTCTGCTTGTTTGATTATTTTTTTATTCTCTCATCCTTTATTCAAGGAAGGCGTAAAGGATGAGAGATAGCATATAGGATAGCAATAGTTTTATTGTAAATCAGGCCAAAATATATGTAGTTTTCAAAAAAAATACTGCTGCATTTTATATGGCACACTTTATTCTGAACTGAAATGATAGAGGTGCTTATTTTATGTATGATCGAAGTGTAAATGTCTCTCTGCAAGTAAGGATTTTTCAGACTGATGAAGCAGAGTCTGATAACAATATTTCCAATTTCCTTTAATGCTTATTTTCCTTCCATGCTTATTTTCTTTTGTTTCTCTGCAGATATTGAGAAGCTTTGTACCTTTAGTCAAAGGTTTCCTCTCCCATCCATGTACCGTATACTGGTGTGGAAGGTGCTTTTAGGTATGAAACATAATATCTTTGATTCTCTGGGTAGATATTAGTGGGTCTTTTCTGTTTTTTTGTTTGTTTGTTTGTTTTAAGTTTTTAAGAGCGTTAATGATCTGTAATGTTTGTAATCATTTGTCTAGTTATACCTATTTAGCCTCCTCTTGCATCCGCCTTATTTGCACAACAGTGATTATAAAACTGAATATACTGTGCATACTTTCTTTTGCAGAGGTACACACACAAGTTTCTGTTTAGCTCTAACATTATCCGAGTTTGGTTATAAAGTTCATTTATAAAACAGATTTAAAAGATGGATGTATGAAAGTAACTGACAACTGATTTTTTTTCCTAAAGCCAAGGAAAACTTTGTTTAAGTTGTGATTAAACTTAAGAAACTGAGCATTAATATGGAAATAAATATTTGTTCTGAGGAGAAGCTTGTATTCTAAAAGATTTTGGCTTGAGGATTTGTTTTGATTTTGCTTGTAGCTTTACATGGTATTCACCATTAAAGAAGTCAGGAGACCAAAGATAAATACAGTATCCCAGAAACCATAAATGGGTTGAATTCTTTGTGTTGAAATGAATTACTTGGATGACTAATTCACAATGTACTAATGCAAGTACTAATGGAAAATACTTTGCAAGTACTTTGCAGGTAATTAGTTGAATAGGTTGGACATACTAAGCTCTGTGGAAAAGCCACTTGGAGATGGAACAGATTGTGGAAAGTTCAAGAACTTCTAACTCTTAAGAGGTTTTTGCAGAAGTTTTCCTTAGATTTGCTGTCTGTAAAGAAACTGCCAGAGTGAGCGAGAGGCTGATTTTATGACTAAATCTCTGGAATAGGATTCTGACCAAGCAACTGGTGCTTGAGCATCATGCAGCATTTCAAAAGCTTGAGTAGCACCCATGCCAAGCTTGTGTTACCGGGACGCTGCTCACAGAGAGGGTACTCATCGTCTGAGGTGCTCTTTGATCAGCCTCAGCCGGCAGGTCGTCTTGGAAGCTGTGTCTGCTCCCATCTGTGAACTCTCACTTCTCCCTAGGAAATGTGATGCAGGTCTCATGGACATTGTGAAGACCTTGGCATGTGACTCATAGAGTCAGGAAGATTGGCCACTCTTGCCTCAGGTTATTGAGCAGTTTAAAAAACGTTTTTTCTCCATTGCCCTATATTTATCTATCTTAGGCTCTGTTATGGTTTTAGACAATTGACAGGGAAATGTCTGTCCTCTGTCTTAGTTGAATTTGAAA